CCGGGGCTACCCTCTTCTCCGATCGGCCGGACACAGGCAGTCCCGGGGCGAACCACAGTCCCTCCAAGCCCGCCAAAGCTCCGCGGACCGGTCGGTGAGGCTCTGCTTGTACCCGTCCTGCGGAGCAAGGCCCCCGCCCCTCCGTGCATTGCCGGCCCCGGTCAGGGCGGCTTCGGCGGGCGCGGAGGGGCCGCGGCCACAGGACGTCCTGACCCCGCGGGAGCGATTGCCACGTCGGGACTCTCATCGCGCTGGCCCGGCGAGACCTTCTGCATGACGGGCTTGTGCGAGGCGCTGGCTGTCCCCGAACAGCCGAGACATATCTTCAGTCTCGTTCGTAATTAGGATTACAAAGGCGCGCTATCAATGCCTCCGCCCAGCCACCAGCGCTCCGCAGCGGCCGGTAGAACTCGCAGTCCCACCAGAGTTACCGGCGGGGCCTCAGAGCGCAGCGATCACCAGGAGCTGCCCGCAGTCCCCCCACGACGGACTGCGGGGGGTTCCCTGCTCCCGGTTGCCCCGTTCCCACCTTATCCCACGCCGCGGTAAGAGCAGGACAGGAGGCAGAGGGACAGACGATGGTGAAAAGCTTGGCACTTGCGGTGCTATCCAGGGGCTCCCGGCGTGGCCAAAATCCACGGGAGGCGCCTGTGGTGAACCTCCAGGACTCGCCGGACATCCAGCTGCCCCCAGTGCCTCTCAGAAGGGGCAGCGCGGCTGGGCGATGGAATGTAAGGGAACTAAATACATGCCCCTCCAGGCAATGTCGACTGTCCTTCGCATTGTTTAATCTCTGCGTATTTGTAAACTTGGCCGCATGGTTTGTTTTGCAGGTTTTATGGCCTTCCAAGATCCTCAAGGGGAGGATGAAGCTGAGTGGCTGCCCCGCGGTGCTAGCCGTATTCGGGGAGGGGGGTGCCTGCTTTTTGAAAAGCTGTTGTTAGAAACTATTAGAGCTGAGAGCTCACTGTACGTTAATAAAAGCAAACAGCAGAGTAAAGCTGTAAGAAAGTAGCTTACTTCTGTCCAGGACCATTGAGGGAACCAGTGCTGAGCCACTCTGGTTGCCTGAATGTGAACTGGCCAGCCCTCAGCACTCAACCCCATCTGCCTGCAATGAGGAGCAAGTTATTTGTACCAAACCATGCCACTGTTGCCGTGGGCCTGGAGAACTCCTGGAAATCCTTTAATTATCTCCAAGGCTACCCCACATTTCACAGGCCCAGGTCCTGCTCTGGTAGCCTCCAAATACCAATGCCAGACCTGTTTGGCCCCACAGGGCAGTCAGCAACTGGATAAATTGCAAATCAACCCCTGCACCCCTGGCATGCTCAGGACAGGACTGCAGGAAGCTTAGGACCGAGCGAGACATGCAGCTCATGAGGTCCATTGGTTCCAAACTGTGCGGGAGTCAGGGCTCATCTCCTGGACTGCAAACTCCTCTGCCTCCATAAAATGCTTGAACTGCAGAGTGCCTCTCCCTTAACTAACATGGGCACCACAGAGCAGTGATTACTCCAAACTGGCTAATTCTTCAAGCAGGGCAATTATTGATCCCCGGAGAGGTGTGCTTTGCATCTCATTTTTAATCACTTTTTGTGCTGTGTAAAAAGAGGCAAGAAGTGGGGATTGCTGCTGGGAATGATGCTGGGAAGAGTCTGCTCCCTCTGCCTGACACTCTCGGGAAACTTTTTTCCATCCTAGGAGAAGTTACAGCCTGGGAAACAGCACTGTGTTAATCGTAATGAAGACAAATTGACTCCATACCTCAGCTATAATGGGAAAATGCTATGTTTCTCTGTCCTCTCAGCTGCTTCAAAACTGCATCATCTGATATCTACTTGTCCCACACAGGATTTGGAAGAGAAGGGAGCCACTTTCTGCCTCTAACCCCAAATAACGCAAACCCTTTGCCACTTGCAGACTGTGCTTGGCTGCTCCTAGAGTCGCAAAAAAAGCTAAGGACTTTTATTAAATAATAGCCAGGTAACACACAGGAAGAACTATGTCCAGAGCCAACCCCTGAAATTGCTTTTTCTATCCCCTGGAGTGACTTACACAACACCCATTTCCCCCAGAAATTACAGAAACCTCTGTCCTGAGTGAAACTTGGAATCCCAGAAGTACAGCAAGTCTCTCCACTCCTTGCTCCATTTTTAGGCTTCTTCCACGAGTTTAGTGAGGATTTCTGCTCCCTCTGAGGTAATCACAAGGGTATGTTCAAATTGTGCCGATCTGAAATTCACATTTAGCAGTTAGGAGGGGGAAAACACATTCACCATGCCTGGAAACTCATCTGTTTGGGTTTTTTGGGCTGTCAGTGATGAGTTCCATGTATTAGGAAATACCAAAAAATAAAATCAGGCACCTTTTATTGTCTACAGAAATCGCAGTCCATTTATCCTCCAGAATCTTACATTTGGGGGATCCTTCCATTATTATTGGCTCTGCAGCAAGAAAAACAAAATGTATTCTAAAGTTAGTTGCACTCCTGTGTGGACTGTGAAACAATCAAGAAAGGGGAGTATCCCAGCAGGTAGCTCCCCTTCCACACAGGTCCTATCTCCCTGGGCTGGCATTCCCTTGACACACTAAAATGTGAACTAAAAAGGAAGACAAAATAGCAAGGTAGGAAGTTGCCCATTCCTCTTTTGTAAAAACATGGAATTTTAATCAAGCTTTAATTAAGACTGTGTGGATAATAACCAAAGCACCAACCACATTTATAAACAACAGATAGTTTTAAATATTTGAATTTTTTTAACAGGCTTAAAATGTTCATTAAATCAGCAAAACAACAATTTTCTTATTTCCCTCTAATTGCCGCGCCATTTAGCCACACAGGGAGAAAGAAGGCTTTTTCCCCAGCAGTTCTCCACGACTGGAAGTGAGCATGATCAGTCTGTGGGGTGAGGATCCGGCTGGTTACCGCCGCCGCAGTCCCCAAACCCAACAGCAGCTCTGGCAGGCAGCGAATGACTAAGTGACACCAGGCTGCTTGGCTTCGGGGACACGACTGCATCCTTCTCACCCTCCTCAAATCAAGTGTGCTGGCAGAGTCTCTGCCTTGCCAAAAATATGAGTCAAATATTAGCAAAATTTATAATTAACATTTCATTCTTTAAATCTCATAATTTGAAAATTATTTCATCCAAACAGATTGTAATGCATTTCTAAAATGATATTTTAATCTGTTCCTAAGATGTCAATCTCACTGACGTCCCCCTGTCGGCACGGTTATTTCTATATCCCAATAAAGAAATGTTACAGATCTGGGCTGCTCCGTGTGTGCTTCTTAACAGAAAAGCATATCAGAGAGTTACTAACCTATTGTGAATGCCATTCCCTCTTCCATTAACAAATCACTGTCATTGGCTACAAAAGAAAAAAAAAATCGCGTTTATGTATCTTTGGGTTTTTTGGTGGTTTGTTTGTTGTTTGGGGTTTTTTTTGTGTGTGTGTTTTTTTGTTTTTGTTTAAGAGAACGCAACCAAGCCCTTTGTTTAAACCCCTTTTTAGCTCGCAGGTACTGTGCACCCGAGCCCCGTTATGAGCCGGAGCGCCCGCCGAAAGCGATCCCACCCCGGCTGCAGCGACACCGCCCCGACGGCGGCTCCGTCCAGGCCGGGAGCTTTAATGTTTTAGCAGAGATTTTTCTTTGCCCCGTGACAAACTTTGCCGGCGTGGTTCGGGCGCGGGCGGGATGCGGAGGCGCGGGGCACGGCGGCTGCCGCCCGGAGCGGCCGGGGGAGGCGATCGGCAGCGCTCAGCTGCCCCGACAGCTCCGTTACCGAGCGACTTGTCCTCAAAAATACCCACGCGACCCTCAGAAAACGAGGCCGGGGGTGCCCTCCAGCTTCCCAGTGGTTTAATCTGCCCACGGCAATCCCCCGCCCCGCCGGACCGGCAGCGTGCGTGGGGGTGTGTATGTGTGGGGGGGGGCTCCGCTCGCTTTACCGCCCTCCCTCTCCCCTCCCCGGAGCCCTCTCATCGCCCGGGCGGAGCAGAGCGCCGCGGGGGGACA